CAGTGTAGAATGTACACTTGGGAGCTGAGTAATACATGTTGAAGGGATGAATGGCAGGCAGTTTTTTTTTTAATACTACATTTGAATACAGACATTTGTTCTTGGTCTCTTTATAAATTGGTATGTTTTACTAGTGAAATAATAGCAAAGATGCTAATTTATTGAGTATTTGCTATATGCTAGGCACTATTTTAAATAATTTTAAGTAATTTTTAGCAATTATACATTTGTGTCATTATATCATATAAATAATTGTTTTAGTCCTCATTATGGTTCTGTGAGGTTGAACTGTCATCATACCCATGGTACGAAGGATAAACTAAGAACAGACTAGTCACCCCAGGGTTCACACAGCTATTGGGTAGACCTAGGATTTGAATCTACAGCTGACCACTGTCTGAAGTATACTGGCATGCACCATTTAATATAGCCATCCAATCTTTTGCCCTTCCCCAGGTATGCTTAAAGTAGAGTTACAATGTTCAAGAGATATAATCTCGTAACAGTTACATATTAAATAAAAGTAGGGGATTGTGGTAGCTAGTATAGAACTTCGCAAGATCAAGCCACTTTTATCACCCTGCCAAGAAGCAGAAGAAATTGTTCAGACTGTGACTTCCTGGTTTCCTTTCCCTCCTTCCAGGACTGGAGGAACTGGAGGCACTGGAGACAGGCAGGACCCAGGTTTCCAAGCCTCGTGCCTGGAAAATTCTCATTTGTCCAGAGGCTATTTTTTTCCAGAGGACAGGACAGATTCCAATAAATACTCAACTGTAGAGAGCTGACCATCTTGGTGAGTTTGGTGATTGGAGTTTCAAATATCCTTGATGTGAGTTTTAGAACTCTGGCTGTATTGAGCTCTCTGGGTGTGTCATTATTTACAAGGGAAAAGTTGAAGAGCAATCACGTCACACAGCCGCTCTGTGGGATGCAGCGTGTTCCCATGCTAATGCTCTCTGGCTGCAGGATGCCAGGGAAGACATCCAGGCTGCCTTACCAGGCAGCACACCCCAGCCTCACCAGCCTCTGTCTCCTTTCTCTTTACTACATTGTGATCAGCTTAGATTCGTGCCCCTGTATACATCACAAGCCCTGAAAATGCCAAGCCCTCCACAGTTCAGAGCTCTCTGGAACCTCTAATACGATCTTGTTAGGAAGACACAGTCCAGTTTTCTAATCTGGTTTCCATCTGATAGAAAGCTAAAAGTCGGTCTTTTCTGCATTTGGCCCTTCTGCTGTTTTGGAGAGGCAGGGAAATCTGACACAATTCACTGGAGGTTAAGGAAGGATTGAGCCAACAACAAGCATGCTTGCACCAACTGAAAATTATTCTGTTTCACATAACATTTTGGCTAGAACTATATTGTAACACTTTATAAGAAAGGGAAGAGAATATAGAGAGGTGAAGAAAATAATCCCACCTGTCACAGGAGAAAGAAAGTAAACAGACTCTTTAAACACCTGAAACACTTATGTAGATGTATTTGCCTTTTATTTAAAGCCATGGACATTCATTGCTTTTGAAAATTTTACTGATTTTTTTTTTAAGTTGTTATTCAATCACTGAGTAAGATGTGAATTCTTAATTACTGCCTGGCATGTTGAGAACTGGTATTTTTCTTTGCACACAATATATTAGTCTCAAACATGTTTGACCATAATGATCACTTAGGACTGTGTTAAAAGTAAAGATTTTCAGGTATGGACTTCAGAGGTAGTTCATCAGGTTTGGAGTTTAGAATTCTGTATTTTTTTTTTCATTCTATTTTGGAAATAAAATATTTTAAAAATAATATTCAGATGTATTTCTTCCTCTAGATTCAGCAATTGTTCAATTTTTCCACATTTACAGTATACTAAGCAGTCAGCTAATTTGGGCTCTTTAACATAATGCAGTCAATAATCTTTTCTAAATCAGTTTCCATTGTGGTTCCTAGGTAGTTTGCAATCGTCAGACTTCAAGTAGTTCCAAAGCAATATTGGAACTCTTTCTATGAAATGGCTATCACAGCTGTCATCGTATAAGGTGTGACAATTAAGTTTGAAGACTCATCCTAGAAAAAGAGTCTTGCAGGGTGGATTCAGTGCTGGCCTTGGTGCGTAGCTTCCCAAGGGGAGTGCTTTAATGTTGACCATAGTGATATTCAGCATGGAGGTGCATAGGACTTTTTTTTAGAATGAGTTCATGAACTTAATTGCCAGCCCTTATATAATTGTCAGATAGTTATTGTTTATTGTAAAACAATGTCACATTTGTAAATACTTGTATTTATATTTAAATATATATCTACCCTTTTAAAAGGCTGATGACAATATATCACACCTATTCTCTTTATCATGTTAGAACTAGAACATGGTAGGAACTTAGAGCGCCTTGGGGGCCACTGCTAAATAATTGCTCCTCTTCACTTCTCCCTGACATGTCACCATTTCCATGAATTTTGCATTATTCATTCCCTAGAACTTCTTTTAATGTTTTCTCCATATACTTGTCAGAGTGTTTATATATCCTGGTATTGAGCATTCTTAAATATGATAAACTATATGAGTTCTTTGATTACTTGCTTTTTCTGTAAAGTACTGTAATGTTTACTTTCACTTTGGTTTATATGTACAGCTGAAGTTTGTTTTCACTATAGTTTAATATAGCATCATGAATGTGTACCAGAATTTACTTACACAATCTATCATTGATGGACATTAGACAATTTTTAATTTTTTAAGTATGCATAGTGGCATTAAGAACATGCTTTTGTATATCCTTTGTACTTGTGCAAGAGTGACTCTCAGGTATATACTTAGAAGCATGTAAGGTGAAAAGTTCTGGAAAACTGTGGTCATTTTCCTCAATAATACAGACTATTATCATTGAGGAATAAGATCAATACTTTGAACTCCTCTGGCTGGCCCAAATTAGGACTGACACTTTTCTATGCCCCGGAATACTTTCTTTAACCTCTTTGGATACAAAGGACATTGTATGATAATCTTCAGCTCCTTGGGTGAGTGGAGATGGTCCTAGGCACCCATCTTGGGAAAATAGTTAGTTCAGCTGGGAACCTATGTGGTGGCTCAAGTCATGGTGATTTTCACTGAGTCAACTAAGTCTCAGTGGTGTTCTGATGACTGAGTCCTATGGTGTTCTAATGCTGCTTTGACCTGTTCTGTGTTGATGACTTTTCACTCCACACTAACAACACCAATGACCACATTCTGTACTCTGATAAACAGAATAATGTATTGGATCACACATGGGTGTTGGATTTAAGAGTATTTGTCTTTAGCAGGGTTGGCCGTTTATGCACTGGAGACATGTTGTTATAATTAGAGATAGTATGTGAAAAGTGTTGGGCCCTTTGCCTAATACTTGATATGCAGTGAGTAAATTATAATGTTTACAGATGTTGTTTTCTTTGCTATTTGTCATTTCTCAGAAATCGGAAATTCAGATATACTGAAAGTCCCTTCTTGATAAATGACTTTATTTGAGGGGGGTGATTTAATCTAGAATATTTTAACTTCACTCTCATTGCTTTTTACAAATCTCATCTCAACTTCTATTGTCAACTCAACTCAACTTCTATTTCTCTGAGTTATTCTGATAATGTTCAAATGCACATTTTTTTTATTTACATGTATAAATTTATTCTCTTGGCCTCAGAGAGGGCCCTAAACATCATATGCCCCAGCTTAAATTTTTGACTCTTACCTTCCTCAATACCTACCATTTTGGGGCCATCCTCCGTTCTACTTCCATTGAAGGTATCACCATGAATTCAGTTACCCTGGGCTAAAACTGAGACCTCCCTCTGACTCTTCTCTTTTCCTTTGTCCGTCAGCAACTCCTATAAGTTCTGCTTCCAAACACCAATGGCTCTGAGCACTTCTAACCCTCTCTGGTGTCACGTCCCCAATCTGAACCCTACCAATACTCACTGGAATACAGCTGCCATCCCTCACTGCTCCCTCTTTCCACTCTCCCTCTCCCAGTATGTGGTATAGGTCAGATCTGATCACTCCCCTGATAACAATCCTGAAGACTTCTCATTACAGTTATAAAAACATGCCAAACCCCCCACACCTGGCTATCAGATGTGATTGGACCTCATCTTCATCTCTTACCTCAGTTCTCTTCCTGCCCCTTGGCTTAGTAAACTCTGACCTCTTTTTCTCTTTTTCTTTTTTTTTCCCTTGAATATTAACTTATTTTTATTTCTGTCTGGACCTTTTCACTTTCTTTCCTCTGGTCCTGAATCTCTCTCTACCAAAGATTTTAGTGTGAAACTTTCTTTTCATAGTCCAAATAGTTCTAAGGTCACCTCCTGGAAGAGGAGAATCTCCTAGAAATTCTCATTCACATTTTTCTTAAACATTTTAGTTTGTTTTCTTTATAACTTTGCTTTCCAAACATAAATTTAACTTTATACTTAAATATTTGTTGACTTTAAAAGAAAATCTTACCCCAGGGCTGGCGTGGTGGCTAACACCTGTAATCAAGCAGGTGGATTGCTTGAGCTCACGAGTTTGAGATCAACCTGAGCAAAAGTGAGACCTCCATCTCTAACAATAGCCGGTCGGTGCGGTAGGCACCTATAGTCCCTGCTACTCAGGAGGTTGAGGAAATAGTATCTCTTGAGCCAAGAGTTTGAGGTTGCTGTCAGCTATGAAGCCAAGGCACTCTATTAAGAGCAACAAAGTAAGATTCTATCTCAAAAACAAAACAAAACAAAACAAACAAAAAAAAACTTATCCTACAGGAGTATAAGCTTCAGAAGAGTGGTCAACAGAGTGTATGACTGGTTTATTGCTGCATTCTCAACATCTATTATTGTGGCCATTATAATATTATTATTTGTTGCATAATCAATGAATGACTGAATAAATGAAAGGTAACTGGAGGCTAAAAAAATTACAAAACATGTTTTATATATTACTGAGTACTAATAGTAACTATATAGTATGTGTATACTTTTAAATCATTAAACTGTTTTATTTTTCAGGATTAATTGTAATTCTTCAAAATGGCAGGTGAGTTGTGAATAGATTGGCATATGCTTTATTTTTAAATGTTAATTATATTACTTCCTTAAAGGGGGTCTTTATTTTGTTTTGGACTTTTTAATTATTTAGGATTTGGAGAACATAAATATATAAATATGTCTACATTTATTTATGTATTTATGCTTATGAACATTCTTATCTCTCTTTATTTGAAATGAATTAAAAAGGGACTTATAATAGCGCATAGGTGCTGACTGCTCTTTAGCATATGTGGGGAAAATGAGGGAAAGGAAAAGGAAGGGAAGGATGGCAAATCTTCAAAGGGAAATGATGGGAATTAGCAAACAATCTGAGGTGACATCCTGCCTTGGGAGAGGAGGGCTGAAAGAAGAGCCTGCAACACCGCATTTAAGGAATTTGTTTTTCTGAGAGATAAAAGTCAAACTAGTTGATTAGGACATTGAGAACTTCTCCCATAGAGAGTCTAGGGAGAAATTTCTCTAATTTCAAGAATAGGACAAGACGTAACCTCATGAAAGTGACTCCAGTCCCTGCTTTGCAGCAATTCTTCTGTCCTAGATTACCTGTAGAAAGAATTCAGTAAAAATGTGGGTCATTGGAGATGTGATCCGATTTCCTCTAACTGAACTGTGTGTAGCACTCTGCTTTCTATACTATTTTAGTATGTATGGTCTTATGTTCTGCTTATTTAGACATCAATTTCCAAAAAGGATTAGAGGAAAAATCCAATTCACTCTATCTATATATGTCTGTCTATTTCCTCACATTGTATAGTAGGCAAAAGATTTCTGAGGTTTTGTAAGGAATTTACTATTTACTACGTGGGTCAGCATCAGTTCAGCTGGATCACAAGCACAATATGCTTTTTATTTTTGATTTTATTAAAATTATTTTTATTTTTAATCTATGTACACTAATGAAATTTATTAATAGTTTGATGTCTACTGTAGGACTAATTATGTTTTTATAAGAAATATAAATGTCTGTTGAAGGTCAAAAACAAAAAGAAAATCTTGAAATCACCAAAAGAAAAATTACTGGTCATGTACAAGAGAACCCCCAAAAAATGTTTAAAAAAAAAGAAATATAAATGTCTTCATATTGATTATATTCCTTGATGCATACCAACAAGAAAAAAAAGAAAGCATTTTGTTAATATCATATTATCATTTCCTTTGTAAGTCATGTCTACTCTCTTTCTTCCAAGGTGTAGTCCCCACAGCTCCTGAGAAGTCGTCAGATGAAATGAAAAATGAGGCAACATTGCCAGATCTAAGGCCAGATGCCCCTCCACAATATAATTCTCATTTTGTGCCAGGTTGGTTAACTATTCATGAGGTATATTTTTCCCTCCACCAAACTATACAAATAATTAAAGTTGCTTTTTTAATTAAGTCATTAATTGAGTCAATAAATACATTTTGAATGTTGATAGGGTACCTAGTAGTACTATATGTTTTAGAACAGATTCATGTCTTCATAGGATTTACAGGTTATTGGTAAGAGGTTGTACAAACGCTGATAAAATTCTTTATATTCCATTATGGAAATATGAATAGACTGTTAGAAGGGAAAATAAAATAGCATCTAGGTTTGTTAGGGAATTGAGGAAAGCCTTATTTGAGGAAGTTAAGTGTTGTTATCATGATAATAATTTCAAGGTCAAAAATGAAGGGGAAGAGAATTCATAGAAAAAAAGAATTATATGTCCAAATGCAAGTGGTTATGCAGGTTGGTGTGAAGCCTTCATATGACAAAGGGCAGGAGGAGTGCAGAGAAATGGAAGCGAATGGCCTAGAATGCTGACTAAGAGCTTGTTGTTCTAGCAGATATTTTTATGAATGCACAACTCGCTGACAACACAGGAGAACAAGTGCATACACACTGCCAGTATACATTTGTTGGTTTTTAATAGTCATTTTGGAAAGCAAGTTGAAGAAAAACTAAAAACGTTCCTGCTTAAAACTAGAATCAGACAAGGACGTCCACTATCGCCACTACTGTTCACCACAGTGCTGGAAGTTCTAGCCAGTGCAGCCAAGCAAGAGAATGATATCAAAGGTATCTAATGGAAACAGAGGAGGTAAAGCTTGTCTCTTGCTGGTGATATGATCTTTTACTTAGAAAGTCCAAAAGACTCTTGGAAGTGATAAGGAAATATAGTAACAGCTTGGGATATAAAATCAATGTTTACAAATCAGTAGGCTTCATATATGCCAACAGGTAAGCTCAGATTCTAATCAGAGACACTATACCCTTCACAGTAGCTTCAAAGAAAAGGAAATCTTTTGGAATGTACTTAAAAGATTTGAAGGATCACTACTGAGAGAACTATGAAACTCTGAGAAATGAAATAGCAGAAGACATTAACAAATTGAAGAACATACCATGCTCCTGGCTAGAAAAAATCAACATTGTTAAAAAGTCTGTACTACCCAAAGCAATCTACAGATTTAATGCAATCCCCATTAAAATACTAACATCATACTTTGAAAAAATAGTTCTTCATTTAGTATAGAACTAGAAAAAATGCAAAGTCAATGCAATTCCACAAAATAAAAACAAATCTTGAGGCATCATGTTACCAGACTTCAGATTATACAAGTCTGTAGTGATCAAAATATCTTGGTATTGGCATAACAATAGAGGCACAGATCTATTCAGAACCTAGAAATTAAACCAGCCTCATGTTGCCATTTAATCTTTGGTAAATCAAATAGCAGCATGGGCGGGGGGAAAGAATCCCTATTTAATAAATGATTCTGGGAGAATTGTTTAGCCACGTGTAAAATACTGACACTGGACCTGGACCTGCACCTCTCACTGCTTACAAAAATTAACATATGCTCAATAAAAGATTAAATCTAAGATACAAATTGATGAAAAAAAATAACGCTAGAAGAGCATGTGGGAAAAACTCTTACCATATCAGCCTTAAAAAATTTATGAAGAAGACATCATTTGCAATTGCAGCCATGACAAAAATAAATAAATGTGACCTGGTTAAATTAAAAATCTTGTGCACAGCTAAGGACATAGTCAACAAAGTAAATAGACAACCTTCACAATGGGAGAAAATACATGTTACAATTCTAAGAGCTAATAATCAAAATGTATAAAGAACTCAAGCAAATCAATAAGAAAAGAGCAAACTATCTCATGAATCCCTGGGCAAGAGACATGAACAGAATCTTTTCCCAAGAGGATAGATGAATGGCCAACAACCGTGAAACAATGCTCCTTATCCCTAATCATCAGAGAAATGCACATCAAAATGACTTTGAGATGCCCCCTAACCCCAGTGAGAACAGTCCAGCACATCAAAATGTTCCAAAGTTACAGATGCTGGTGTAGGTCCAGAGAGAGGGGATCCACTTTATTTTAATGTAGAAAGTCATAATAACCCTTAGTAGATTATAATGTAACACTGGGGCTGGGCATGGTGGCTCACACCTGTAATCCTAGCACTCTGAGAGGCCAAGGCAGGTGGATTGCCTGAGTTCACAGGTTCAAGACCAGCCTGAGCCAGAGCAAGACCTTGTCTCTGAAAATAGCCAGGCATTGTGGCTATTTTATAGTCTCCAGCTGCTCTGGAGACTGAGACAAGAGAATGGCTGGAGCCCAAGAGTGTGAGGTTGCTGTGAGCTGTGATGCTATGGCACTCCACTGAGGACAACAAGTGAGACTCTGTCTCAAAAAAAAAAAAAAAAAGTATAACACTTTCATTTGTTTTGAACATAGGACCACCGGGAGCAGCGGTCCCTCCACCTGCAGGCTACCCAGGAGGCCTGCCTATGGGATACTATGGTCCACAGCAGCCCAATACCTTCCCCTTGGGCCAGCCAACTGCTAGTACCAGTCTTATCCAGTATCAGCCTGGCAGATACCCAATGCCGAATCAGCCTGTCGCAGTTGCGTGGATGCCAGGGCCACCTCCTGTGCCAAACTGCCCTCCTGGTCTGGAATACTTAACTCAGGTACTCCATGCACATGCAAATTATTTTCTTATGAAGTATGACCA